GATCGATACCCGCCTAGGCCAACCAAGCCTTCCATCCCTCCAGGGTCGGGTAATTGGTACCAGACTCGTGTGGGAGGATAAAAGCACTGACTTGTACATTACCTGGCCACCGCAAGTCATTGTATAGGTCGCATATGCACTCATTACGCCACTAAGATTCTGAAAGGAAGTCGAACGCGCTGGCGCATCCCTCAACGGGATTGATTAACGCCAAAAACTTTACCCTTTAACTTTTTGTAAGTCTGGGAACCGGGAAGTTGTATTCGAACTCGCGATATGCGCAGTAACTCTTTGATGAGATCTCGCGGCATCGGACTGCTAGGAACATGTTCCCCAGCACCAAGCCCGCCTCTGGGCCGATAGTTGGGGCCAATCTCAGATCTAGCCTGTACATGGCGCACTCCTACTACGCACCATCTCCGCTCGTAGTTCCAGTGCTAACCACCCGATAAGTAGGTGTCCAGTGTTTCTGAGGAATTTGCACATGAAAGTGTGTGAGCAACCAAGTATAAGGAATAGACCGAGCTTTTCAGCTTTTCATGACCTTTTCTCTTGTGCTTTTGACCCGTCATTCTAGAGCGTAGGTTTAGTTCATTTTGGAGGAAAACACAGCCTATCTCAGAACTAGACACTTGCTTCCACAACGGTTTTCTCTAACAATTAGAGGGGTTGTTAAAGGAATGGGAAGCAAGCGAAAAGAAGTGGTAGTGTCCGTTGAGGACGAACCCTCGAACGATTTTGTCTTGTTTTTTATTGCTACTAGAAAACGAGCCTTACTCCTATTATTATAAACTATTTTATTGAGAAGAAAAACTTACATCAGCTGGTATTACTTCATATTCCCAGCCTGGATTGATTAGTTTACGATACATTTCGGAGATTTCTGGGAAGCGGATCACTCCTGGGTTCACGAGATTGATGACTCCAGTTTCCCTGAAGGGATCCTTTTGTGATAATGTGAAACATTTGATACCGTGCCAGGAGGGGAATACGTGCCAGCAGTCTTGACAAAGTGACTCCCGGATGTTTTCGATACTTGGGCTATTCCTTACCCTTTATTGAGCCGATCCGCAAATTCAATGGGTAAAAGGTTACCGTCTGTATATTGGACTACTTGAATTAGTTGAAATTTATTTTGTTGGAATGATCCATTTGATGAGTAACTCTATCTACTGCTTCTGGGTTCAATATTTTATTGAAACTCACTTTTTGAGAGCCATATCCAATAAAATTGGCAGAGTATCAGGAAGAATAGTTATAGAGTTCGGTACATCGAGAACTTTCTTGAATGACATCAGCTGGAAATAGACGACAATCTCATGTTACCATTTCGTCCTGCTGTACCTTCCAACATTACCTTCGCAACAAGATTACGACTGTCGAGTTCGTAGTTTACTGGTAATCGAATGCGACATTGTAAAGTGTTGTCAAAATGTCGCAACAGCCGATCTGTATATCCCTTCACCACAGAATAGGATGTGCCGTCGTAATTGCTAGTATCTTCTTCCTTGAAAATACCACATTTATCAACGCTACTTACACTTGTTTTACTCTGACATGAGTAAAAAGGTGTTAGATGCACTTTACATTAACATTAGTCCTGCAAATAATGAACCGAGACAGTTTTGATCCATAAAGAGTCGTTATGTGGCACTGCTTCCCATAACCAAATCACAGTAAACTGTTCCCTCAAGTGACAAATATTAAGAATGGGTGGGTGGAGGGGTGGGTGGCTGGGTTAGCTCTGGACCGTGAAGTGAGCGATGAGAGATAATATTATGTGTTTTTGCATTGATCAATCCCGTCTGAAGTATGCAACCCCGATCAGAAACGTAGAGGCATTTTGAATGCATAAGTGGCCTTTGCAATAAATTGCGTCGGCCGATATACAACCGATATACAAGAGACTCCTAGGCTCTTGTATATCTGTAACTGAAGCGAGCAGTTATCGAAGCATGGAGAGCAATCGATGAGGAACTCTTCGGAACTTAGTTTCTAGTATGCCACGCAAGTTCTTTGATATTGCTCTTAAACAAGGAGGAGCTATAGATTATTAACTGTTGTACATATGTCATTAACATTAATAAATCATTTACTTTCTCAGGATGATCTTATAATTATGAAACGGTGCAAAAGACGACACATCTTTAAAAAGACTCGTAAAAAATTTGAGGTGAAGGATATTGCTACCAAAATTTGAATACGGAGGTACATTGTGACGAGGAATCTACTAGTGTTTGCCAAAAAATTCCATTCCGGCTGCTTTCTCCAGTTTCGCAAAAATCTGGGGTGACCTTATAATTATGAAACGCACTGTACTTCAATTTGGCTTCAGTCCACAAGACACCTCTATCTCCACATTTCACTCAAACGTTCATCCCGGCAGGGTCAAAAGAAATGATGCACCGGCGAGAGGTCTTTCCGAAGTGGTAAACAACAGCGGATAAATAAAACTAAAGTGAAATCGAAAAGTTCGGTTTTCTGTACGTAAACACACCGTGTAGCCAGGACCTCCGTCCATTTTGTGCTGAGTATCATACTTGAATAGACAACCCGTTCCCAGGTAGGTGAAGTGTATGTTCATCTTCTCGCAAAGGCTAGCCAATATCCACGGTGCGTAAAGATTATCACGCACATTCAGCTTCAATTTGTCTGGTCCACCTTCCAAGAATGTGATTGTATTGTTGCCTGAAAGTAGTTGAGCAAGAAAATTACTATACCTGTCTGGAGTAGGGGTGAAAGGAATTTAATTATCCATTTATTTATCTATTTGTTTGTTTATTCAGATGCCTATTTTACCTGCCTAACCACATGAAAAGTGAACTCAATGTGAATAGCTCAAATAAAATTGAATAGCTTATGCCATACTGCCTACACCTGTGCTGATCTGCAGCAGCGAGCGGGGCATCAAAGTCTTTATTGCTCTGAAGGATGGAAATGTATTCTCGAAATGTTCTGGCAAAGAATGGGTTCCGATAGCCTATCCATTTCAAAAAAAAAAACAGTCATAAGCACAGATTCGCGGCATATCCCGGACCAGCTATCCAAAGAGATGGTGCACTGGATTGTGCTTGAAAGTTTTTCTCAGTAGAAACACCCACCTTCGCCTTGCGTCCGTCCAAGCATTGAAATAACATTACTGGGTGCAACTCGAACGATTTCCTCTCGGACCATGTCGTCTTCATCGAGTCCGGGCTTTGTGGCGGCTTCTACATAGACGATATTCTTCTCCTTGAGCATTTGAGTGAACTGCCGTCCAATCCATCCTTTTGAGCCAAACAATAGAATTTTCGTAGCTGATCCAGATGATTGAATGGGTTGCGGCGATGAGTTGCGCAGAGTTGTTAATGCTGAAAATGCCTACTATATTGATTAGGTTCGGTGAATGGGGGTGGAACTGAATTCTGTCTTGTGAGTGATGATAACAACTTTTTTTCAAAGGCCAAAAGATTGTGGGGCATGTAGTTATATCTGAACCGTTGGCGACGGGTGACGGAACTTCTCCCCTGTCGCGGCATTCTCCCTTGCGGCATGCGGCAAATGCCACTGCAATTACCGTACTCACCCCGCCTCTCGCCAATCGATAGGACGCGATATTTTTCCTTGACTGGCTTGCTTTTTCATTGGATTTGATCGTTTTTTCTTCTGTTTCTTTTTAGTTTTCATGTTTATCAGACTTGATTAATTAAAATGACTCCTCCTATATAAACGACGATCAAGACCGCATTGGAATTGGAAGGAGCGGCCAGCCAATTCAAACAATTAAAGAACTCTCTACCTTACAAATTGCGCGCTCCAATCTTCCATCGCAATCCTGCGATAGGCGGCGGGTGTGGCGTGTGCGACGCCGTGTTAGGGGAGAAGTTCCCGGACCCGTTGGCGCCAGCATAAGAAGGGAAACTGGTGGTGACGGTTCACGGCAGAGTTCTTAGAGATACACCTTTTTTGGAGCTTCCAAGAGGACGGAAGTGCTTATTGGTGGAATTTTGCTTAGCACCAAGGCATTACCTGGCATCCACATGCTCAGGTAAGCACAAGAGGGAGAGTAGTTGGGTAAAAAAAATGAATCAGTTAAGTTTTCGCGTTATAGCCGGTACTGCTAGTCTTGAAATCGTTTTTAACCGTCGCACGAATTCAGAAAAATTTGCCTTTGAAAGGCAGACACCGCTACCGGATGAAGTCACAGTTCAATAACTAATTCTTCAAAATCATACCTTTAATTATATCGCCCTGGGCGCGAAACCCAAGCTCTCTTGACGCTTTTTCGGTATTTAGTTTTGTGGGCACAGAAGAGAGAGTTACGTTCCGTCCATTGACGAACTGCAACAATTGCTTACTATAACTAAGATCAAATGAGTAAATTATTAATTTGCCTGAATAGAGAGATAAATTAGCTGAATGGTAGAACAGTGGCATTCGGGAATATCCTGCTACTGGTAATGAGTGATAAAGAATAAGTTTTTCGTCGGTCTTGGACCGTATTCAACTTCGAAAAGGATTCGGGATGGTTTTGTTGGTTAGTTCACAATCTTAATTAGGACGAATAAAATTTAATCACCCCCAGAAATTGATCGTTACTGGGGATGTGCGTGTTTTCAATGAAGGGATTCCGACCAATGGCTGGATCGGAGTCGGATTCGAGTCATTTCTGGAGCACAACTCAACATTCCTTCACTAAGTTGGTTACGGAAGTGTATCTTTTGACGGCAACTCTCTTGAAAGAGAAGCAGGTCGCCTTTCCTAAGTGGTAGAGCCTACCCGACTACCCGAGAACTTCTCTCTTACACGCTGCGCTTGGATTCCAGTTAATGAAAGAGGGAAGAATAACTGAATAAATTTCAAAAGTGATGATAGATGCCTGACCACCCACCTGCTTCAGTTCCTCTGCCACGAAGTCATGTGGACCGCCAATATTCCAAACTTCAGCTTTCTCAGCTCGTTCTACTGCTGCCATAATACCTTTCACAGCGTCCTCCATGCTGATCAGATTGACTGAAAATATCTAGGGAATTCCAGTCGAATTTTTGAATTGCTATTGAAAAGTTCTTCTCGATGATTCTGCTGTATGAGTTACTTGGCCGTAAATAAATAAACAAATAAATGTAACCAAAAAATCATGCATGAATAAATTAATTAAGTTGCAGAATAAATTATGCATTAAACTAAAATCGGCTCATCAAGAGCTTCCTCATACATACTTCACTGCTGCTGTAAAAACATTTCATATATTGTACTTACCGCTTCTACCACCACAACTCTCAAGCCTCCGATCGAGCGAGTCGTTGATTAGCCCGTAACTGAGTCTTACCACGGCTAGTGGAAGATGGTAAGAGACCACGTATGAATGTAGCATTGCTTCAGCTGACATGAGAGCTGCACCTCTCCAGCTAATTGGCGTCAATGGCACTGACTCTTCTCCATCAGAATGTCCGTATACCTGAAATCATCTGTTTTCCTGGGAATTCCCTACTCAGGTGAAAATGCAGTAAGCTTGTGACTGCCC